AGTGGCCACTGCACTCCAGTCTGGGCAACAGAGTGAGACTCCAACTCAAAAAAAAGAAATGTATCAAACCTTATATTATCCTTTTTTTTGAGTCAGAGTCACTGTTGCCCAGGCTGGAATGCAGTGGCACAACTATGATCACTGCAGCCTCAGCCTACCAGCCATCCTTCCACCTCAGCCTTTCAAGTAGCTGGAACTATAGGCATGGGCCACCATTAATCCCCCCACCCCCTTTTTTTTTTTTAAATTGTAGAGACGAAGTCTCACCAAGTTGCACCAGCTGGTCTCCAACCCCTGGGCTCATGTAATCCTCTCACCTTTGCCTCCGAAAGTGCTGGGATTATAGGTGTGAGCCACTGTGCCTGGCCTGTATTTTCACTTCCACATATAATCAGCAAAAATTATTGGTAGTTTACCCACTTTTTGTCATATTAAGTCTTGGAAATAGTGTCTATCTCTTCCATCTGTGCTAGCCCCACTCCAAGCGCTCAGTGGCTGCCGCAGTGGCTGGCCAACAATGTTCTAGAACCTTACCCAGCGCATGGCTGGTGCACCAGCAGTACTGACAAGACTTGGGAACCTGTTAGAAATGCAGAATCCCTTGTTGGGCGCAGTGGTTCATGCCTGTAATCCCAGCACTTTGGGAGGCGGAGGTGAGAGGATTGCCTGAGTCCAGGGGTTCCAGACCAGCCTGGGCTACTTGGCAAGACCTCATCTCTACAATAAATCAAAAAGTTAGCCAGGTGTGGTGGCGCGCCCCTGTAGTCCCAGTTACTTGGAAGGCTGAGGCGGAAGGATCGCCGGAGCCCAGCAGGTAGAGGCAGCGGTGGCTGTGAGCAGGCCTCTGCACTCCAGCCTGGATGGCAAGAGTGGGCAGAATCCCAGGTCTCACACCCGACCCACAGAATCGGAGCCTGCATTTTAACAAGACGCTCCCTCATGGGAGGAATCAAGGAACTCCGATGCGTATTAAAGTTTGAGGAACAGCTTCCAGAGCAGAGGTTCTTAATCAGGGAGGCAGGCTGGAATCACAGGGGGGTCTGGGAGGGATGGTGGTGCCCACAAGGTACGGACTCCCTAGCCCCTGTTCCAACCCGACCAACTCAATTCAGAACGGGGGGGCGGGATCCGGACATTATTGATGCTAGTACTCGGGTCAACGCATAACCCGAGTTGATAGCGTCTCCTCTAAAGGGATCAAGGCGTCTCGGGTAGGTGTGCATGGGGTGGGAGGGACAGGGAGCGGAGGGGCTATGATGCTGGGGACCGGACAAGGCAGGGGGACGTCGTGGGTGTGCTGACACCCTGGTGGGGATTCAGAACGTCGAGGGCGGCGACGGGGCTTCAGGGGTAGAGATGGACCGGGGTAGGGGCGGGCGATGCAAGCTCGCGCCCGGGGAACTCACGCACCGAGACCCGCGACCGTGAAGGACACGACCAGCACCGGCTCCTTGGCCCAGGCGTCCTTGAGGAAGGCGGCGAGTCCTGGAGGGATGGGCGAGGAGGGTCACCGCTGCAGGGGCTGCCCCGGTGACCTCGAGCCCTCTCGGACCACCCCCGCCCCGGAGGAGCTCCCTTCGTGACTTCTGCACCCCCTTCCAGCACGGACCCCACTGCCTCCACGAGTGCATAGTCGCGCCTTAGCCCCAGGACCTCCCGGGGTGACCTGAGACACGCGCACCGACGGCTCCCGCACTTACTCGCGGCCATCTTGGTCTCGGCGGCGGCGGCGGCGGCGAGGACGCGGAGCACTCTGGGAGTTGTGGTCCCTGCGTGCGAGGGTCCGCACTCTGGATCGCGCGTGCGCCTTGGAGCTGGAAGGTAGAGGCGGAAGCGAAGGCGCGGAGCACTCTGGGAGCTGTGGTCCCTGTGTGCGAGGGTCCGCGCCCTAAGAATGCGCGTGCGCTTTGAAGCAGGAAGGTAGAGGCGGAAGCGAGGACGCGGAGCATTCTGGGAGCTGTGGTTCCGCGCGAGGCCCTGTTGTCTGGTTCCGCACGTGCGCACTGGTGCAGCACAGAAGTCGGAGCCTGGGGCTGCAAAGGAGGTGGTGCCCGGGTGCAAGCCTGGCTTTGCACACCTGCCTGGGCTTTACTTTCTCTTTCAGCGTGGAAGTCGCCCAGGAGGAGTGACTTCTAGTCCTCCTGCCTTGACTCGCTTAAGGCAGAACAAAATTGTTCCCATTTTCCGGTTTATTTATGAAAGCTCCTTTTACAAATGAAGACACCGAGGCCCCGAGAAGGCGAAGGGCTAACTTGTAATTTGAGGTCGCAGCTGAACATCAGCTCATCCCGAAACCGCTGGCTCTCATCCCACGTGGATTAGAAGCCTTCTGTGGGCCCTCACAGTGCCTTATGCCTTATGTTAGTTACTGACGTTATAGCTCAGATCGCCTTTTTTTTTTTTTTTGAGTTGAAGTGTCACTCTGTCGCCCAGACTGGAG